GGGGGGAGCCCGGCCTCTCCGAAGTCTGCGGAAGTTTCGCTGCTGAATGCGGGGCCTCGCGGGGGATTTGGTGACACGGGGACAGGTACTGCTGGCTCCTGCTGCCGGGGCGCCCGCGGGCTCCTCCATAACCTCGAGCACCTTTTGTGGAAAAAGCGACTTAATTCAGCAGCCTGAAGCGCCCGATGAAAATAGCTTGAAGAGAGGGTGCTCGAGTTTCAGAATTTGGAAGAGTAGGCACCCTTGGCAGGGCAGGCAGGATGTGCACGATTGGCTTCTGCATGCTGAGTATCTCTTTCTCAGGCTAATTCAGTGCCATTTTGAATCAGCCTGACAATGGCCAAGTTAATTGTGTCGTGGAAAAAGAACTGGTGGTTGAAGTGTTGTCATGTGGCTGGTGCAAACACTGATAAAAGCACTGTTGCCAACAACTTGTGTGTGTAAAGAAAAATAACACTGTGATAGCGTGATATGTTTATAAACCAGTTACAAATTCCAGAAAGCGGTGGCTTAAAATAGAGGTAGATTTTAGTTTGGTAATCAGGTTCAGAAAATGTGTGTTGTCAAGCTAAAATGGAAACTTTCATTTCACCCTCTCAGGCTCGGTCCTTGCTTGTGCGGTTGTTATCTTTGATTCGCTCTTGACTGGTTAACTGTTCAGTGGAACAGGAGATGGTAGCAGATCTGCCGAGGTGCAGAAGGCTGTGGTTAGCTGATGGTAGCCTTCTTCAGCAGTGAGTTTTCATTGAATTACACGAAGGGAGGACTGAACCGTTTTTTATTTATGATACGGAAAAACGCAGTGGATTTGTGTGTGCTTTTACAGATTCTTCAGAAGACTTAAACTAATAGTAACATTTGCTGACTGCCAGCACAGAGTTCCCTAAACAGTGTGGGGAGCAAGTGGGAGGCTTTAGAAAAGCGGCAGTTTCGTGAGTTGGACGATGACTCACTCTGCCTACCGACTGCAACGTGGCTGATCTAAAAAAAATGCTTCTGTGCCCCGTATTTTTATAGTCAAGGGGATAGTACTTAGCACGTTGTATAATATGTCATTAGTCATTCTTGGTCTTTCTCTTGTGAGTAATGATTTGATCATTATGTGGTCTGCATAATCAAATTAACTGGTATCTCTCTGTCTTGTATTTCTGAAAAAGTAAACGTCTCCTACCTGACCGTGTTTCAGCGTACATCCTGTTTCCTGAAAACTGTGATAAATCCACGTGCAGAAGCTGAGCACGAATTGAAGGGGCCGTCTGCATAACGCATGAAGCTGGCCCTGTGTGGCGATGTCTGCCAGCACTAGGAACAATTTCAAAGACGACAGCCCTTCTGTGGGTCATTTCTGTTGCCCTCTGCCGAGAACTGATCTGTTTTAAAAGCATAGTTGTAAACCACTTAGGAAACTAGTATCTTTGGGTTTCCCTCTTTAAACTTTGTGGGAGGAAGGAATAAAAGTACTGCTTAGAAAAAATGGTAGTCTTGGAAAGGTGACAGTTAGCCTAAATGAAAACATGAGTGCCTGCGCAGATAGCCTATTTGGCACAAATTGGGGTGACAAACACCCCCTTTTTGTACTGCAGTCCCTCGTGTTGTAAGTGGTTAGAGCACGTTACGGCACAACTGAAGAGGAATTTGTCAATTTTATTTATTTAGTGTGTACTTTGAAAGCAGAGGGTTGGACTGAAGGTTGTGACTTAGATTGAAACTGAAAACGTATATAACTTAACAGGTGTTGGTGTCACTCTGTAAGTGTTATTGGAAAATAATGAGGTTTTTTTTAAAGTTAGAAACAACTATAAAATGAAAAGAAAAAAAAATTGGTACTTTGAGCTCATTGTGGCTTGAGAAAAGCCTTGATTTCTTCTAGTTTATTACCCTTTAAGTAATTATTATCTTAGTCAGCATGAAAGAAGTTTTGGGATTAACTTCTTATTTTCCATCCCTCCTATCTGCTTCTGGTGAACAGGACTATTTGTTTTAAATGCCTCTTTGCTGTTATCTTGTGGATGGGGAGACTCGTTCAGCTGCTTTCCTGGCGGCAGCGATGCTCGGGGGGGCTGCAGCCCTGGCGGAGGGGCCAGCTCACAGGCCAGGGCAGTGAAGGGGCTGTAGCACCAGAGCAAAGGGCTGCACTGCATGAGGGATTGAACTGGCATAGCAAAAGAAGTACGGCTTCAGCGTGGAAGTAGTTAATGCATGGGGTTAGTTTAGAAGTGTATTTTCTTGTTTAGACAAGGATATATGAACCTGCTACAGTGTTGTCTTCTCTTTCATTTACTGCCACTGAAAATTCTACTTTGGAAACAAAAGGTCACTCTCAATTACAGCACAAATTTCATTTGTTTTAATAGTGGGGCATTTTTGCTAGGACTCTAATAGACAATCTCTAATTGTCCTCACCATACTCATGCGAGGTACCGTATCTGGTAGGTAGGCTGCCTCCTCGTCAGCTCCCTAGGACTAGATCCTGTTTTAAATGATAGCTGGGCCCTGCTTTTTGTGGCTTTGGGATTAAGTCATTTGCTCATAGTTATATAGGAAGTTTGTAGCAGGATCAGGTCAAACTGAAGTCTGCAATGGGTTGCTTATGTTATCAACATTTGTTTTCTTAGCTGAATTACTCTGATTCTGAAAATCGTTACAGACCTTCTGAAAATGTTGCAATTAGTGGTCACCTAGTGGAAGGATACAGTATAAGCCAATGGTTAAAAATACATCAATTCAGGGATACAGAATGAGAATTTTAGGATCCCTACTTCAGTAAGCAAGTGGGCCCTAACTCCCTTTCTCCTTGAAGCGGTAATGTCAGAACTGCTCTTGTGCTGTAGTGCTGCTGCTGCCTTCATTTAGTCACGGCGGTAAGGGGTGGGGGCTGAGTTATGGCGAAGAGATAGGCAGATCTTACTCCTTGCTACTGATGGACATCTTTCTGAATCTGATCCTGTGCTGTTTAATGGAACTAGCTAAAAGAGAGGTTCCAGATGTGTCACCCAGCTGCTGTAAACCAATTCTGTATGGCTGCATATTGAAGTCATCAGCAGTGTGAAACAATAGGCCTAATTATGGGGAAGAATACAACTGGGTTTAGATGGTCCCAAGGATACAAAATACAGCTTATTGCATGGTATTTGAATGGAGGCCTTGGACCTTTGGTTAACGTGAAATTTCAAGTGTGAGTATACACTACAAAAATGAATTTCCATAACAATTTTTTTGGGGGGGAGAGGTGGACGATGAAAGGAAAATGGTCTGCGGTGATGTAAATATTTTTTACAGGCAGCAGGTCAGAATGAGTGGGCCTGAAAACAATGCATGTGAATGAGAAAATATTTTTAGGTTTAAAAAAAAGTTAAAAATCAAGAGGCTAGACTTATGGGTTTTATAATTGTGAGCAGAGTTGGATAGTCACTGAACTTTCCTAATTAACTCTAGGATAAATTTTGTATTTGTCCTTGAAGTGAATTCATGGGTGTTATAAGGAGGATCATCATGCTGATGTTCTTAATATGGATATAAATTCGAGATAGCGTTGGGAAAAGTAACAGTGTTACCTCATTATGTTTGTACAAAGGTCACAATAACCCTTGTAAAACACTGCGTAAAATTAGGGCTCTTGGCAATATGTGAAGAAAGGAATCTCAAGGCAGTAGTTATACGTGCTGAG